AACGTTTTTGAGCCATTTTCACACATTTTGATAAAATTTGCATATTATGAGGTAAATGCAAAATAGGTAATTTTGGGCCATTTTGAGGCAAAAAGCATGGACTATAGCCCATGGTTTTGATCGTTTTAGGGCCATTTTCACACCTCTTTAAAAAATTTGTATAATATGAGGTAAATTGAAAATAGGTCATTTTGGGCCATTTTGAGGCAAAAAGCATGGACTATGGCCCATGGTTTTGATTGTTTTTGGGCCATTTTCACACATTTTGAAAAAATTTGTATAATATGAGGTAAATGCAAAATAGGTCATTTTGGGCCATTTTGAGGCAAAAAGCATGAACTATAGCCCATGGTTTTAATCGTTTTTGGGCCATTTTCATAGCTCTTCGAAAAATTTGTATAATATGAGGTAAATGCAAAATAGGTCATTTTGGGCCATTTTACCAGATGTCTGTATTAAGGAAGAGACATCTTTAAAGGCATGTGAAGAGGAATTTGTAAAATGGACTTGGGTGGCACAGAACGGAAGAGCGGGTATACGTATTCGTATAGGCCAGTTCATAGTTTAAGAATTTATTGCAGTGCGCATGCGATTTTATCCTTTATAGTACACTCAACAAAATTACTCGATTCTGATTGGTCGATAGGAGTACAATTATAAGGTTAATTGTTCTCCGTAGGAGTACCGAATTAAGTCGCTATGGAAACACGGCCAAAACAATAAACAGCGGCAAAAAAAAAAGGCGTAAAAGCTAATAAGAGCTAATCTTTTTTATGCATTACAGTTGCGCGATGGACTGAAAATCGGCCGCCAAATAGACAAAGATGAACGGCGTCGCTTTGCATTTTTTACTGAAATTTTGTTGAGTGAACTATAAACAAAAAATCGCACGATCTTCTCGTACAATTAGGAATTAATAGACACTCGTAATGTTTTGAAAGTTCTTTAATCGCACTCGCCTAAAGGCTCGTGCAATTACAGGTACTTTCAAAACATTACTCGTGTCTATTAATTTCCAAATTGTACTCGAGATCGTGCGATTTCCTATACAAATTTCTCATCTTTTGTTTTATTATGGAAAAAAAAAGGTTTAGACAAAAGAAGGTGAGAAATTCGGGATAAAATCGCATGCGCACTGAAAACAGTTTTTAAGCTATGAACTGGCTGATTGCTGAAGTTGCGCATTCTTTACCTACCGTTGTTATTTGTGAATATTTAGACTTCGAAATAGCACAAAGAATCCTCTTTCTTCATCGAGGGGTAAATAATTATTTTAATTGAATTGTTATTAACACTTCTTCTGACAAGACAAGCATGAAGGTGATAAAGTTAATAAGTCCTTTGCAGCTCAGTAATCACGTGCTGATTAATTCACTGAGAGCAAATGAATGAACATCTTGATTCCCATGGGTGAAATATACTGGTGAGCAAACAAACTTTCTACAACCTGTTTCGAGAGATCGTAATAAAACTGCATTTCGTAGCACACTCGTTACAGATCGTTTCATTCAGTTCTTTACAAGTAGCTAAAAAGAATTGCCAATTTAAAATGAAATCAAAAATTTTGCTCACCAGTACAGACACATGACCGTTAACTGCAAAGGGCCTATTAGGACGGTAAGTTTTAAATCTATTTGGTATAATTATATCTCAATTATTTGACATTGCTGGGACAGCACATAGTTCACAGCAGTTAGTAATAACTTTTATTAAAGAAAATCACGCGCCTAAAGAATCATATCGTTGCCCAGGGGGGTCATCTAGCGCGTTCTGATATATACATTTATTATCCTTATAGGTATTACACCACATTACCTTGTGCGTAGTGCTTTCTTATTTCAGTCCACGTGTCATTTTCTTGAGTATCGTTTCTTTGTTTAATGGTTGCACAGAAGACACATGAATATGAATACAACTCAAACAAAGAATCATATTCTCAAGAGAATGACACGCGTCTTAAAAAATAAAGAAGTCTTGATTGTCAAATAATCATAAAATAATAATATTAATACTAATAGTTATTGATACTATTTAAGAAGCGCTCAATACCCAGAGAAGACCGTGTCCGTGCTGTATATAGTCTCTGGAAGAGGTACATTGTTGTATTACCAGAAAGGGCACCTGAAAGTGAACATTCAGTATATAGAGGTTATATAAGTGAAAGCGGCTACGGGGCGAGAAAAAATACAGCTTAACTCGTAAAATTATCCGGCTGCAATACACAACTAACAGTGTAATAAATTGATTATTGTACGATACAAAAAAAAAAAAGAGAAAGAGTGCATGAAAAAAACTTCTGTTATAGTTGGATTTTTCGGCCTCATGGACTATTGACTCATAGCCCATTCGTGCTCGAGGACCAATTGTTAAATAGTCCCAAGTTCTCGACCAATCAGGGCGCACGATTTTTCTATAATCATCTGGTTAATGGTACTAAATATTGTTGTATATCAATATTCAACCAATCAGGGAGCAGGATTTACTATAATCACCTGGGTAATGGTACTAATGGCTGTTGTATATTAATATTCAACCAATCAGGGAGCCGTATTTTCTATAATCACCTGAGTAATGGTACTAAATAGATATTACATAACTACTGGAAAATGGATAGATATGGTTTAGCGTCTCAGGCAACGACGAAAAGGTATCCGGCGATAGAAATACTTTACTCACCATCCAATGTAACACTGGCACAAGTTTTCATGGGAGACAGCCTGTTTGATCAACAGGTCCACTTGGGATGGTACTTCAAGGGTGTTGCGCTTAGCAAAATCACCACCTGTGAAAAGATTGAGAAATGGGGTTATGATGATGATGATGATGGCGATGATAGTGATAATGATGGTGATGATGGCAATGATGATAGTGATGATGATGGCGATGATAGTGATGATAATGATGGTGGTGATGATGATAGTGATGATGATGGCGATGATAGTGATGATGATGGCGA